GCTTACTGTTAATAATAATAAAATAACGGTCTGCAAGGCTATGTTCCTTAACAGTCATGGGATATCAGAACAGTGGGTGATAACTGCTCTAAGTAAAATTGGAAGAACAGGCTCACATGAAAAAGATAGAAGAAGAAAGCACTCCACAAGACCAAACAAAATTGATGAAGGTATCTTAAATGGCATTAGACAGCACATTAAACTTTTTCCTGTGATGCCTTCCCACTACACCAGAAAGATATCGACAAAAATGTACTTAGAAGACGGCCTTAACATTTCAGTAATGCACCGACTTTACTGAAAACACATGCAAGAAAAAAGTGTTAAAGAAGTGGGTACTTTGAGACAGTATAGAGAGATTATCAATGACGAATTTAATTTAGCATTCTTTAAACCAAAAAAGGACCAATGCAGCCTCTGTATGGCCTATCAACTAGCAGGTCCAGCAGATAAACAAAAAATACAAGAAAGGAATGAAAAACACCTTTCTAATAAGAAAGCCGCTAGAGCCTTGAAAGATGCAGATAAGGACACGGCGATCAATAATAAGTCGGTTTGACCTACAAAAAGTCCTCATGACAATCATGACATCCCAATCTGCAGTGAGCGACTTCTATTACAAGAGTAAGCTCGCCACATACAATTTATGGTATGGGAAGTCATGAAGGCTACTGTTATGTTTGGCATGAGGTAATTGCGAAGAGAGGACCAAATGAAATAAGCAGTTGTATTTTGAGCTTTTTGAAAAATCAAAAAGAAAAAGGAGTCAAGAAAGTCATTCTGTACTCTGACAACTGTGGGGGACAAAATCGTAATCGTTTCATTTTCTCGATGTTTTCTTATGCTTCTATGACTCTTAATCTGCAGATCATTCATTGATTCCTAAAAACAGGTCACACACAAAACGAAGGCGACAGTATGCACGCTGTCATTGAAAATGCCAAAAAGCGACAACCGGCAATTTATACCCCCGATCAATGGATCATGCTGATTCGCATGGCGAAAGTAACCGGAAGCCCATATATTGTCAAAGAGATGTCCCAGAATGACTTTGTGAGTTTTAAACAAAAGGTAAAATCGGAAAATTGGAACAAAGACGACTGCGGAGAAAAGTTGAAGATAAGTAGGATAAAAGAAATACACTTTTTCGCAGACGTGCCTCATGAAATGAAATTCTAGTGTGAATATGCTCATAATCTCACGATAATAAAATTGAAGAAAAATCATCGAAGAATGAGAACGAAAGATCACACGATCCAGGAACTACCTTTAAGACGGGTTTACACGGGTCAAGTAAACGGTCAAGTTGAGCAGTAAAGTCAAGTATTTTTTTCTACTTGCATTGTATGAACAATTTCGGTCAAGTAAAGTAGCGACTTGCGTCAAGTGACGAGGCAAGTCAAGTGGTTCAGCACGGTGAACAAGTAACTTTACTTGACTGCTACCCCCACTTCTACTTTATCATTGGATCGCCAACTTGACCGTGTACTTTACCAATGTAAACAGACAAAGCATCTAAGTAAACAAGTTCCTGCGCATGGAATGTGGATTTGTACTGTCTGGGGTTTTTCAGATTTCCTATCCATTTTGATCACAGATAACCAAATAATTTTGGTGATTTTGGTATACTACGAATTATGAATTGAGGTTTAATTTGTACAAGAGGAAGTGGCCAGAAGAAGAAATCATGCGTTTCGTTGAACTCTATAGTGAAAAAGAGTGTTTATGGAAGAAGAGTAGTGTAAATTATCGCAATAAAAACATGCGAAAAGCAGCTGAAGAGGACATCGTGAACAGGATGGGAAAGGAAGGTTTTGGAGTGACAGAATTAAAGCAAAAAATAAAGATAATGAGAACAACTTATAATCAAGAAGCGCTGAAAGTTAAAAAATCTAAGAAATCAGGAGGTAAACCGGATGATATATACGTTCCAACTGTCAAGTGGTTCCAACAAATGGAAGAAATAATGGATAGCTCTACAGCTGAAAATGAAACGGAAAGCATAGTAAGTCAAAAGTGTATATTTTTTCTTTAATAACTGGTAATTAATTTATAAAATTGCGTTGCCAAGGCACTGCTCCTTCTTCCGAAATGAAATAATCCCTCATTTTGTTTCGCATGTGTTTTGCCATCTCCGACGCCCTCCTCTCAGTTCCCCCCTGTATGTTTCTCAGTTCTCGTATCTCTTGTCTCCACTGTCCAGGTATTATTTCGCCAGTGTGTTGGTTTTCACAATCAACCAATTGTGCATTATTGAAGTATTGATCTGGTGACGTTTTTCGTAGCCAGTTGTGAATTGCAATGGCAGCACTAACTAGTTAGTAGTAGTAGTAGTAGTTAGTAAATCTACTTACTAAGATTCCAAAACCATTTTCCACTATTCTTCTGGCACGACTAAGCCGATAATTGAAAATCTTTTCTTCATCGGTAAGAGGTAGTCGGTATCTACTATATGGTTTAAGTAGATAGGGTTTTAGTGGAAAAGCATCACCAACTAAAAAGTAACCATCGGGTAGTAATCCTTCTTCTAGAGCTCCTGAGATTTCGCAGTTTTGAAAAGTACCACCATCTGAGTTGGATCCCGTTGTCCCTACTTTAAAATAAGAAAAACAGTAATTGTGATCTACAATTGCCGTTAGTACCACGGTGAAGGAACCTTTATAGTTGAAGTATTCACTTCCAGTATGTGGGGGAGCCTCGATCAAGACATGTTTGCCATCAATGGCACCACAACAGAAAGGAAAATTCCATCTCGCTTCAAACCCATTCGCAACTTTCTTCCATGCATCATGTGTATCAGGAACCTAAAAAATGAACATTATGAGCATATAATTTGTATGATTAATTAATCATTGAGCAAATGAGAAGTATTAAATTAGTATTTCATTCATTTCAGGAGACAGAAATCGCTCCACCTAGCGAAAATGAACAAGGTCTGCTAGAGGAACAAGTCATTGAAGAACCATCTCCAACTCTCTTGCAAACTCCTACAAGACCTTCGACCAGCAAAACATGCTCCCGAGTAGAATCGACCGGTAAGAAAGGTTCTCGAGTAGAAGCAGGATCAAAAAATAAAAAAACACGGCTACAAGCCTTAACTGAAGCTGTTGGGCCGAAAAGCCCAGGAACCATTAATAACTTCTCAATCCATCAGTGACAATGAAGCTTTTGGCAAGTTTATTGCAGCCAGTTTAGATAAACTGCCCCCTGCTGATTCAATCATGGCGCAAGGTGCACTTCAAAGAGTGATACAAAAATATCGATTGAATGCGTTAAATAAGAGCAGTTCTGCTTCTGAGGCTTCCGCATTAACTGCAATTCAATCACCAACCCTTTCTAGGGATTCACCTCCTGCAACTACTCCTGCATATAGCACTGATCATCCGATTATGAACGAGGACACAGTTGCAAATGATGATGCTGCTATCGCAGATATTATCTCGCAAGCATGGAACTTGACAAACTAAAATGTTACAATTGGATTTGTTTGTTTTTTATTAAGAAGCCTAAATGAAAATTTAAAAAAATAAAAATTTAAAAATGTTCTATTATTATCTATTCACATACCTTTACGAAATCTTTTAAGCAGTCGTACACAGCTTGACAAACAATGGGAATCTTGATAGATATCGCTGATTTAGAAACTCGGAAGAGATGAGAAAGGGTTCTATAATTATTACCAGTTGCTAGGTAATTTAAGGTTACTTCCAACATTGTTTCTGGTTTGATAGCGTCTTTCATAATAGTGTTCTATCGTTGGATTAATGGAGTTATTAAGCCTAACAAATAGTCAAATTTTTCAGCAGTCATTCTGAGCATCATTCTGTATTCTTTAGGATCTTCAAACCTCAGCTCCCCTATTAAATTGGTGGAAGCCCCTTGACTTTCTCTACGTGTAAGCCATTCTCGACACCATATCCTTTTTTTAGGATTTCTTTCTTCCTCAAGAATTTCTTCCACTTCTTCCAGGAGAATATTTGTGAGATTAATAACGCAATTTCGTATGACAATACGACTTTCCACCACGTTTTACCTGTCGACTTGCTCATCTACTGGAATACGTGTAAACGCTCTTTCTGGATGATGTGGTGAATCAAGTAAAGTAGAATGCAACCACGCAAGTGCGAAGGCAAGTAGCTTGACCGATTACTTGACCCGTGTAAACCCGTCTTTACTGTACACAAGCTTGCTTCCAGTAGATGCTAGAAAACTGAATGGCTCATTAGATCTATGTAAACCAAAAGCAAATGGTCTTCCGAGCATTCCTGAGGCATACCACGCTTTCTCTCTCAAAGGCAAGGAAGATAAGAAAATACCGAAAGGACAGAATATTAATAGTGCTCAATATACAGAAGATGAGAATGATGATAGTGAAGAACACGAAGACGAATCTTTGAGTGATTCGACTTAGCCTTGAACATTTTTTATCTGTTAATTTGTTTGAGAAATACCGTAATATTTCAATAAATATCCTAATGAGTATATAGTAAGTGTATTTTTTCCTTAATTGATCCATCGAAAACTATAGTAAGTCAACAAAGTTTATCGTATTTTTATGCGAGTTTGTATTGTGATATCAATTATAAGCCTTTATGTATGATGGCTACTAGCATGTCAGACATATTTTAGACAGGATCATAATTTTACTTTCTACGAGATTCATCAGAAAATCTTCTGATGACTATATCTCAGTTCAATCAAAACTGACTTACAATGGTCTTCGTTGCAGGGTCGTATTGAATTCAAAGTGGCGGCAGATAATTCATTTTGAACTGCTACGCAAACTAAACGTGTGCACAAAATTTCAGCCTGATTGACAAAGGTAAACGGGTACAAAATGCAATTAAAAGATTTGTCTCACACATACATAGATACTAACATACAAACAGAACATGTGTGCGCACACCAAGCATGGTAGCACGAGTTGCTGATTTCTACTGTAAGCATATTAACGGAATTGCCTTATAAATTAATCTATTCTTTTATATTTTATATTGCAGGTATTGAAGGAACTGCTCACGGTGAAGACCTGTTCCTCTACTGGGACTCCTTTATAACTAAAGCGAGCAAACTGATTTTCAACGACTATAGACCTGTATCGAAAAAGATGGTGAGGTTGTTGAGCAATTTTGTGAAATACAAGTAAGTATTTAACACTACTTCTAATATTTCTACAAACAATCCACTACATATTTATATCTGTGAACGGGCGGTAAAGCGTATTTTAATACGTTCTCAGGGTGTCTCTCTCTTCACCTCATACACTTCATTATGCTTCACGACGGTAAAGTAACTTTAGCACCCGCTTAACGTAGCCAAACATCAGCGTGGGCCTTTAGAATGGACAGCCTTTTTTTATACTCCAACTACCACGAAGGCCAAGGCCTAAACACCCATTGGGTACCGTGGGGCTATAGGGGGATACTGGGTAAAGGGGAAACGCCGCACGGATTATGGTGAGGGAACACGTGTGCATGCAACATGCACACATTCTGGCTCCGCCTACGAGATCCGCCGGGTGGTACCTCCGCGTTCGACAGTCAGAGACCGTCTACCACCTACAGACAATCACAACATCCATAGCCAAGAGAAAAATTTCTCCTGGGACGGGATTCGAACCCGCACAGCGCACGGCGACTGAGATCAGGGGACCGAAGAGTCTACTACTGCGGCCACCGCTGCTGCCTTTCCGGAATGAATACAGCAGATTTCTAAATTCACACACCTAGTTCGTCAACGGTATTCACCTTAATTTTATACAGTAAACATTTCATTTCACCTCAAAGAAAAAAGAAATCTCACAGGATTTTAAAAAACGATCTTCATGCACTCGCGATGACTCGGTAGCATTTCGAGGACACTCACTACACTACATGTGTAAAGGTTTTGTTTACCAACGCAGCCAGCGCCCGGATTTTGTTCTGATGAGCATGGTACATGCTTACGTTTGGTCCTATCGAGGTGCTGGACCGGAGTAGGTTTGGTTTAGGTTTGATTGTTACTAGAAAAAACTGCTCATTATCCAAGTAACTTCGAGGCCAAAATGGGGAGTTGAACGAAACACCAAAAGCACAACCTGCGAGGGAAAATTACGTGACGAGTCAAAAATAGGGCAGGGAACAGGTGCAGGTATACAGGGTGTAAAGTTAATAGTGGATCAACGGAAGTCAGGTGATAAACATATCGAATGAACCGCTATATGTGTGGTCCGAAATTTTATAGTTCAGGAGATATTTGCAATTTTGTGAAATTTCGAAAAAACGGGATAATGGACGCAATTACAATTAAACCATAAGGCTTAGGGCTGTAATTTTTTTTTTAGATCAGCTAAGTGGTTAGTTTTCGCAATGGTTGTGTAACTTTTTAACAGAGCTAATTAGAAATCAACAAAATCTTAAATTCATTTTTTTGTGAAAAATTCCATCCCTCAACTTTGGAGCGCGGAAAGCAAATTGAGGTTGTATTTCATTATTCATTTTATTGTAAAAACTATTTCGATCCATGTAAAATAAACCCTGGAAATTTCAACTTGTTACAATAAGTGCCCGCATGTACATTACAAACGACTTGATGGATTTTGACATATGAGGTACTGTTAGATTGGTCGAGTGATACTGTGTGTTTTAACATTTTGTAAAATCAAAATGTTGGATTTTTTACGCGAATAGCAAAATCAGCTTGATGAGCATAGGCATTCAACTCGGCATTCCAGGCGCTCAATCTTTGGTCCGACCGAAATTACTAAGTCAGGCAATGGTCGAGCGCGGAATTTGAATCTAACGTTTGGCATCTGAGTAGAATCATGTCATATTCTCCGCGAGATTATGCAGAAATGCATTACTATTATGGTGCTGCCCTAGGAAATGCTCGAGCAGCTGCACGCATGTATAGGGAGTATGTGGTTAAAAGAGGTGGACCACAACCTGCGGTATATCCCGACTACCGCGTTTTTGTACGTGTCTATAATGTGCATACTAGGCACTCATCGTCAGCTAGGAGCGCCGAGGATACGCCAAGAAGAAATAGAAGACATAATAGAAGCAGCCAAGGGAGTCCTCTATTAGCACCAGAGCCATTGCCCGAAAAAGAAACATATATCATACTTCAGTGCACGCAATACTACGCTCGGAGAACATGCATCCTTACCATGTACAAAACGTACAAGAATTGATTCCAAGCGACGATGCACATCGCGTTGAATTTTGTGAGAACATGTTGAGAAGGTGCGAAGAGGATGAACCTTTTTTCGACAGCATCTTATGGAGAGTTCGAAGCGTTAATTTATCGGCTGGAGTACTCAACAAAAAATTAATTGGACCATATGAATTGCCCGCCAGTTTGAATGGTCAGTCATATCTTGCTTTTCTACAAAGCAGATTGCATGAGCTGCTAGAGGATTAACCTTTGGACGTTCGAATATGCATGTATTTTCAATGCGATGGTGCCCCATGCTTCTTTGCACCGGATGCACGGCATTACTTAGACAGCGCCTTTCCTGGGCATTGGATAAGTAGAGGTGGACACATACGATGGCCTCCAAGGTCTCCCGATTTAAATTCTCTAGATTTTTTTATATGGGGGTTTTATAACGGGATAATCTGTACATCTGAATATACAAATATCAACCAACTGTGCCAGAAAATTGATGAAGAAGAAATAAAAACTATTAATTTCAAAGACTAAAAGACAATTGTATTAGGTGTCGCTTGTGTATAGAAAATAATGGAGGTCATTTCAAACATGTTCTTTAAAAGTTAGTTAAATCAAATTGTCTTCCACATTTGTCGGTAAATCGCCATAAAGAGTGGCTAAACACAATAGGTTCTGTACTTGTAGGTGGTAAGGATTCTATTGCGTTTCTTACGTTTATAGCAAGCTGAAATTTTCATGGCTTATTCTACATGGATTGAAATAGTTTTTACAATAAAATGAATAATGAAATACAACCTCAATTTTTTTACCGCCCTCCAAAGTTGCGGCATGGAGGAGACTTTTCACAAAAACATGAATTTAAGATTTTTTGCAATGATTTCTGATTAAATAAAATACTTCTCGCTAGCGGTGTCTAGATCTTCATACCTTTTTCAATGACTGACTGTATTTCTAGCGCAGTATCCACATTATCAATTTCACCGGATTCAACAATTTTAGTATTTGCCTATTTTTTTTGTGTTCAGTGGAATACCTAGGGATTGGATTGTCACTAGTTTATGCTTTCAGCTAATCATAGTCCTCCCCCATTGAAAAATACTTGCTGCCTTTACAAGACGAAAGGATTATTGATGGGAATTAGTGCATCCTACCTGGCTTGGTGGTCTAGACATCTGCTGTCATTAGGCATTTCGTATGTTGTTAGAAGCTGGATTCGGGCTTTTTCTCCTAAAAACGCCAGTTTGATCCATTTATTGATCAGTTGTTGGTTCCATCTTGCGTAATATTGAACTTTGTACTATAGCCCCTACCAATGAGCAAACTCTTCAAACTAATATTTCGTTGCTTTTAGGAAACCACTTGTTGGACGAGATAAGCTCTTCGAAAATTTAAAGTGGCCAAAATTCGAAAGCAAACGTCTGCAGTATATGTGGATAGACGAGGAGTCAGCATTACTTTCTGACCCAAGAAATTACTCAACAAAAAGGGTAGTATGGGACAGACATGCAAGAGAGCCATTGACTATTTATTGAAGCCTGATTAATCGTTGGTGGAATGTAAAATAAAAGCAATTGAAACTGTCATTGTTGTCTTGGATCTTTGCTCTCTTTATCAGTAATAAAACTGGCATCAAATATGCTTACTAATGTCAGTATAGATACTTTCCACGCCTTCTAAATAACTTCTACAACAGTTTAGTGCACTTACATCAAATAGACGTAGATTTTGTCAGAACCAGAAACGCACTATTCGCGCTCTTAATGGAAAAATTTCCGCGAATTGCAGCAATGAGCGTATCCATACACGGGAGCCTCATGTCTTTGGAGCTTTAGTGAACAGTATTTGATAACTGATTATAATAATAATAACATTTATTATCCATCTGACATGAAAATACATATTGGATTATTGAAATAATAGGCCCCCAAGAACGTGTGATTTCACTCTTATGGATTATTTTTTGTGGAGATTTCTTACATTACAACTATATAACAAAAAATAAAAACTAAGAGATTTAGAATAGCCTTTCTTAAAGACAGACAGACAAATAAAAAGACATACCCACTTATTAGCATCCCTTATAATAAATTGCCACTTTTGCATTGATGCTTAACGTTAGCATTGTGTAATTGGGCATCTATTTCTAAAGAATTTTAATTAACATTGAATTTGATTGTGAGTTGTGTTCCGAGTTCAAGTATGAGGTCAGGTGTGAGCTGGTCGGCAACAAAGTGCGTCTATGTGCAAAATTAGGTTCCCGATATGGAAAAGTAACAATTATCATGTCATTAAGTCGTGCGATACACCATTATTAGTAATTTTCATATCAATATAAGTACCTGCGATGAAATAATTTAACAGCCTCAGCCCTCAATTGTACGGTACATGTGTCATTTTGAGGATGTTACTTTCAACTAATTCAATACTTCTGTTCCTACCGGTTTTTACATATACATTCCATTTTTTTCATCATTGCAACGTACGTATTGATTTTAGATACTACTATCGATTGTGAATCTACAACATGTTGTTTTTTAATTTCTAAGATTATCTCAAAATTAGCAATGTACTACTACTGTAAACGAAAAAAGCACTACTTTCATACTAATTTGTCTTTTTAGATAAGGTGTCTCATAATCTCGGGATAAGCCTTCCTTTTTTTCATAATCACATTTTTGTATCGATCTGCACAAGCCTTAGCATAGCTTTATCCTAAATTGAGCATTCTATATAGACGGGGTTTGAATTGTGTACGATGTGAATTTTTTGATAACTTGATGCTTCCATGTTAGGATCTTACCATAGCATTGCGAAATCCCGCAAATAGTAAAATTAGAGGAGACTGCAGGAGTTCCCACAAAGGCAGACCTTACCGGTCTTTCACTAACATACCTTATGCAGAGCCACCAATAGGAAAAAGAAGGTTACAGGTAAGTATGGGCATTTATCAACAGAAATGGTCTTTTTGTAATAGAACAAGTAGTTGATACACGAAATAAAATCTACTGACCCTGTATTGTTTTTCTCTAAAGCTACAGCGCTCATTGAGGGTGGGGGAAGCGAAAAGACAAGTTAAACTGTTCCACTGGGTTCCGTTACACATAATTAAATGACAATGTATCACTTCCAAGTTGCAGGGTATATTTTTTCAATAATAAACCTTTAGGGGATTTTATTGAAATTAGACTAAATTTAGCAGGTACAGACGTATCGCCAAAAATCTAGATAAATTCGCATAAGAAAAGCGTGTAGTTAAATCGCATTTCCCCTAAAAGACAACGATTATAAGATTCTGTCATCTATACATCAATGGCAATTTATAGTTTCCATAAGGCGTTTTTGTTTAGTGTCTTTAGTTGGTTTTTCCGATACGCCTGTACACAATATGCATCATCGAATAACAAAGGGTAATTACGACTTTTCTTTATCGATCAAAGATGGATGTCCAATAAACGTTTGACACCCTATATCCGATTTTCTTACCCATAAAGCAGTTTGGATATAGAAAGTCGTAGAAAAATTCAAATTATTCAGATCTCTTGTGTTAGGTTTATTCATGACATAAGGGAAATACATTTTTAGAATTACTTGATGGATCAATATGAAAAACATATTCAAAATGTCTGCCATTACCGTATATCAAAAAATTATTACACAAAAGAGACATACCTACCTGTAATGAAAAAAATAAATTTCGAACATAAGTTCACAATATTAATATTAGATTCAAAGTCCTCATCACTCCTACTTTCCATAAAACTATTATATATGAAAGGAGTTTCTGCTACCAAATAGCTAAGGAATATGGTATAACAACATACCTCAGGAGCTTGTGGAGCTGACAGAACTCCCATTTAAGAAGACAATCAAATCTTACATTCTTAAAAAACTGCTTGAGAATGAAATTTTTTGATTTATATATTCAGTTTTTACCCGTTAGTTGATTCAGTGAAACATTCAACTCACACTTTCTATTTTTATTTTATTTGTAGCATTTTTTTTACTTCTGTAAGGTTGTAATTGGACCATATGAATTGCCCGCCAGTTTGAATGGTCAGTCATATCTTGCTTTTCTACAAAGCAGATTGCATGAGCTGCTAGAGGATTAACCTTTGGACGTTCGAATATGCATGTATTTTCAATGCGATGGTGCCCCATGCTTCTTTGCACCGGAGCTTGTGGAGCTGACAGAACTCCCATTTAAGAAGACAATCAAATCTTACATTCTTAAAAACTGCTTAAGAATGAAATTTTTTGATTTATATATTCAGTTTTTACCCGTTAGTTGATTCAGTGAAACATTCAACTCACACTTTCTATTTTTATTTTATTTGTAGCATTTTTTTTTTTACTTCTGTAAGGTTGATTGGAAGAGCACGCAATATACGAGGGATGTCTTTTAAGTTTTGCATATGGAAATAAAACAACACGGTAGGTAGTTTTAAATGACTTTATTGTTTTTCGAAGTATTCTCCACGAAGATTAATACACATCTGCATGCGCTCGAACCAATTGTCGAAGCACTTATTCCACTCGTTTGCTGGCAGATCCAAAACGGCATTTTTGAATGCGTCAACTGCTTCTTCTGGTGACTGGAACCTTTGATCACGCAGTCTGTTTTTAATTTTCGGGAAAGTAAAGAAATCGTTAGGACTTATAACGAGACTATATGGGAGATGGTCCAATAGTTCCACTTTTCTTCCGTTAAATACTGTCTTGTTTTTTGTGCTGTGTGCGAGCTTGCATTGTCTTGGTGGAGGATGATTCTTCTTTCGGGGTTGATTTTTCGAAGCTCGGTGATGACTTTTGGCAAACAAATGGTGGTATACCAATCCGCAGTACCAGTTCTTTGCTCATTAAGAGGAATTGTTGAAATATGACCCGCTTTTGACACAAATGTCGCAACCACCTTTTTCGAAACACTTCGAGAACGGATGACCTTTGTTGGCTTTTCTTCACCTTGGAATACCCAAACAGCCGACTGTCGTTTATTTTCTGGTTCATAATAGTAAATCCACGTATCATCACCACTAACAATGCTGTACACATTTTTTGAGTTTCCGGAATTGAAACGGTCAAGCGTTTTTTGACACCAATTAACCCTGGCTGCTTTCTGCTCGTCAGTCAACAGGTGGGGTATCCAACGAGAAACTAATTTTCTTACTCCTAATTCTTCATGTAAAATTTTTTGAATTGAGATCTTTGAGATCTTCAAGGACGCCTCAATCTCGCGATATGTCACATGTCTATCTTCAATGATGAGTTTGCGCACAGCATCGACGTTTTCCTGGGTGACTGCCGTTTTTGGTGCACCCACCCTGGAATCGTCGCTAAGACTCACCCGTCCACGTTTGAATTCTCCATACAAAAGGGAAATTGTCGACTGACGTGGCGCTTCGTTGCCGAAAACAGACAGTAACTCAGCAAGGCATTCTTGTTGCGATAATTGTCTCTGAAAGAAATTATGGCGCGAAAATGTTCTCGGTTGAGTTCCATTTTTCTAATGACTCGGGGACACTTAAAAATCCACTGTACACTGCACCTATTGTTGTGAAACTTTGAATTTAAGTTTACTAAAGAGTGAGGTTAAGATTCAGTAATGACGTTCGATCCGCGCGGCCTACTATCTTTCTATATGCAAAACTTAAAAGACATCCCTCGTAAGCTCAACCTTTTGGTTAACCCAATACAGACAATTATTATTATATGTTTGGCCAGATGCATACTATTTCTTGTTAGAATAGAAATTTATATGAGATAGCTAGTAACCAAATATAGACTACAGCTAATCCCTTCCAGAAACCTGAACCTGTACGTCCATGGAAAGGTAACTTCAAGGCTACTAAGAAGAATAGAGTATGCCCTCAAGATCCACTTTTACAGGGCCATTATATTTTTGGTACTGAGGATTGCTTGATTCTTAACGTATACACTCCCATGGTAAAAAATGAAGTCTATTGAAATCTCATATATGCAGGGGGTGATCAATATAAAACTGACTGATTTGTTCTCCATAAACCTGATTTCTCTTGATTACGTTCCACATCCTTTTACTTCCCAAGCGCTACTGGCGAGGGAGCATCGAAATCGCAAAAAATTTCAAAAATGAGGTACTATGTTTTTTGGATGTTATATGACATGCACATCACGAAAAACCATGCCACTCATGTCCGTCTGTTGCATGTCGGTCTGTTTGTCTCACCGCTAATCCTTGGCCCGTCTATAACTTGAAAAGAACTGGTCGGATTTTGATGAAATTTTTACTCACGGTTATTCCTATGCCAAAAACGTCAAAGCTTTATAGTTTTCAAAAACCGATCTAATGACGGAGGAGGAAAAACAGCTTAAACGTCGGTTTTATTAACATGATCTTTTATGAACTGATGGTTATGGAAAGAATAATTTGAATCGCTCCATCTGATATTGTTCTCCAGCTGATGCTCTAGAATGATTAGTTTGTTAGTATAAACTTTTTTTTTAAATTCCTACATAAAGGCGTCTGGTCATCTTGGTAGCCAGATGACATCGGCTAATGGGGTTCAGAAATGAGCTTTTCACGAAAGCGAGCAATAATCATATGGTACCTACTTCTAGCCTGCTCTAAAACGCCAAGGTATAACATTGACGTATTTTATTTCGTTTTAAATGTATCGGAGAAACAAATCAGTTATACTGGATGTATCAAATTCGACTCTCATTATTGGGTTCATAAGTTCCAAAAGCAAATTTTACAAAATCATGCAACTAAGAAAAATTCGGAAAAGCATGTTTTCCGTCTTTGCCAATTTATGTGTTTTAGCGGACATTGCAATTTTGAATAAAAAATTATAAACTTTTTTTAATTGGCGCGTTCGTTTTCGTTCAATTGCTGGATCACGAATTAAAATAAGCTGAAAATAAATTTCTTTTCCATTTTAAGGAAATTAAATGATTCCGGCAAAGACTTATGTAGGGGTATTATGATTGGCATTTATTGGTGAAATTTCAGCAACAATTAAAACAATTGTCGGAATAAATGTGTATTTTCAGTTGGATTATTTTAGTTCTTTTTTAAGCAATTGAGCAAAAACGGACGCACCAATTAAAAAATGTTACTATACTTTTTTGTTCAGAATTACAATATCCACTAAAATATTAAAAAGAAGTGCGGTGTTGCAATTTAAAAGAAAATATTACTTTGATGGCTACTGCACAAACTAGCAATGCTGGAAAAATATTTTCACGAATTATTCTTGGTTGCATCATTCAAATTTGAATTTGGAAACTAGTTATGTATCTACCTTTTTGAATAAAAAAAAGTAACCTATGCCCGGTTTAAAAAAAACAACACTGTTTTCTATATTATTATTGTATTTTTGGTTAAACTTCAACAACATAATGATAAAATTATTAATAATTCTTTATTTAGTTTAAATTAAAGAAAGTAGGAATTTCTAGATTGTATTTAGTCGTTCCCTGTGCTTCTGTTACTTCTCCTTGACTATCGCAATTATCCCGCCGGCTATCCTGATCTTGTTTTTTCTGGATTAGTATTTCATTTGCAAGCCTAAAGACTTGCAGTTGTTCCAAAAGTACCAATCGTTGAAGTTCTTGTGTACTAAGGTGTCTAGTTTCATTTGTTTCTGGTAATTTTTCCTTTTGTTTTTGGTTTTTCAATGATGCGTCTTTTACAGGTCTGTACACTGTAGAAGACGCCGCTGATGTTCCAGGTAATGCAGAGCTGGAACTTGCATTCTCAAAAGACCCGGTAACGCATGTTATAAAGGACCCATTTTCTTCTAGCTGACTTTCATATTGTTCACAGTCAAGACTGACTTCTTCAGTCTCCGTCATAGGCGCCCCTACACCAGCAGAAATTGCTCCTAAAAAGAATATGTATTTTTAGTTACCTTAATAAAAACTAAATATATCTGAAACATAGTACCTTTGCAGTATTAGGAGAGACTTTAACAATTCTCGTAATACGTATTATATTATGATGAAACATATATTTTTTGCATTTAAGAGGGAATACGCCAAAAAATTTACGGTTGAAAATAAATGGAAAACATGACCAACTTTTGACTCAAATACTGACCCTATTTATCAATAGATTTTGATAAAACAAGATTTTGGAATCTTCAAACATCCGAAAGTCTACGAAAGTTAGTTATATTTAGTCAACTCTTAAGTAATTTTAATGTAATGACTAATAATCGAATAGTTATCCTATTTTGCCAATTTGTTTTGAATGACTTAAAATTATTCGTTTTAAATAAAAATAACTTTCGCACACCCACAGAAATATCCACAAGGCCTATATAGATTTTCTTGTCTCAATTAGCTTTTTTTAAAATTCGTATTAAAAAATTCGTTAAAATAAACATTTTTGCTCTGGCGCAACTCTCCTATACTCGTAGTTGTAAAAATTGCTAATTAAATACTATGAATTTTGCACACACTAGATTTACCTTTTACTCTCTCAATTGAAGGATTTATCTCTCCTTCCATATATGTAAAGAATTTAGCTTCCCATCCTCTTAGTTGGATCTTTTTATTTCCTGTTTGATTTTTATCAGTCTTTCTTTTTATTCTAGCCTTCAGATTGTTTAACTTTTTCGATATCTGTGATTCACCCATTTCTATTCCCAATTGATCTGCTAGTTTACTTTTTATCTCCTCGATTGCATTCGCCTTTTTTCTTTTAATCTCGGGTATGTTAGACTTTTCCAAAAGTACGGGAAATTTTTCAATAATACTAACAAATCTTAACATGTCAGAAGTTTTCCCGTTGGCGTTGGTATCCTCTTCTGTATCCATTGTTGTAAAATATATTCACTGATAGAACCTAGGACAATCGCACTAAATATCGCGATGCGGCTCGCGTATTATAAAAAACCTGTCGAAACTCGCAAATATCCACAGCGCCAGCGGTATTATTTGGAGGACAAGGCCGAAGCAGGTGCTCCATCCTCCATCTTTACATCAAAATTTTATTAATACCAAATGTAAGTACATGCTTACTTTTTTAGCATCTACTCAGCATGTACTCACGTTTTATTAATACCACTCATTGTTTCAGTTTGTTTGTTCATAAGGAGGAGGAGAGCATTGGATATTTTCAAATCCGAATTGGGTTAATTATGATTTCGCAAATGTATAAGGTGTCACATCTCAATATTGTCATTATATTAGTTCAAAAGTTTGTTCCAAAGTAAGTCTTACAATTATCAGATAGTCATTTGGTTCATATTAATTAATAGACAATCATTTCTTCAGTTTTTATAATCTTGGCATAGGTAAACCGTCCCTACTACCGATTTTGAAGATGTGATATTGCACGTATTATGACTTGTGTTCGACTATAAAACTTAAAATGTCTGAATGAAAAATCTTTTTAGTTAGCCTTAGCTAATTGAATAAACGAACGTTTTTGACCCACACTTCCTATCTCGTACCATTTCCGAGATACCAGTGGTGAGAGTCGAACACCTGAGATGTTGGCCAACCTAAAGTTTTTTGAAAACAAGGAACTAAGTACATTGACAAATCTATTGCTATTACATTGTAGGCGAAGAAGGAACCGCACAAAAAGCTACCAGTTTTATTTTGGATCCATGGAGGTGGCTTTCAATTCGGATCTGGAACACATATGTTCCTAGGAATAGGATTTTTGGAACTATATGACCCTGGACTTTTTATAGACGAAAACATTGTTGTAGTGACCATAAATTATCGACTAGGAGCCTTAGGTATGACTGTATTTTATGATATGGTCCAAGTTTTCAATCGTAGGTCAACTTTCAAGTTGGGTAACTCGGAGGTTAACTATCACTTGCCTGTAAATTCGTTTTTCAAGTTCTGGTTAACTAACACATGGTTTTCAATGTGACAACGCTGGTCTTACTTCTGAGCTGTCATGTTCTGTTCGTTTAGAGATGTTCGATATTTGTTTATTGTGTTATCGGCAGCAATGCCCTCTTACCGCCAAGTAACAAAGGTTAGACTTTGCGGTTTCCTTATGATTAAAGTTAACTTTTACTTTAGGGTTAACATCCACTGGTTAGCAATAAAGTTACGGTTAACCTGCGATTGTAAAGCTGACCAATACTTATTTTGTGATTTCAACCAACGATACAGGGTGTCCTGAAAGTTGAACTTGTCGTATTAGACACAACAAACGTTTAAAATAAAACATTTAATTTGCACTAGAACAACACCGAACGCCTGAAAAATAAACTGAAGGAAAATACTCACTATTTATTTGGTACGGCGTTTTAAATACTCACGTGTTTTGCTTGTAGTTGCTACCTGAAGCTAGTTAAAGTTGGTTTACTTTTTCCTAAAGCAACACTTAGGGCTGTCTAGGTATTCCACTGTGGTCACCCAGACGGCTATTGCATCATGTAAACAAACCTACGCAGCTCTGATGGTAATAACAAGGATGATAACGACGCTTTAAATACTGGAATACACACGCAGAGTATCAATAGGAGTAGGAGTAAACTAACATCAAATCGGTAACTACGGTATTGCTGTAGAAATGTGCCAATTTTGGTTTACATATGCGATTTGTTTATAAACTAGGTTAATCTACACACCGCTCGGCGACTGATGTGGATACTGACTCGCATAGTCACAAAACATCCTATCCTTCGACGAAGTAGGGGAGGGAGCCAAGATTGGATTGGCTTATTTAGAGATTTTCTAAACCTTAATATCTTAGTTATATCAGGGCTTTGCTATATGTGTTACTACGAAAACTTGTTTATTATTGCCTGACCTGTTATATACGCTCGGTGAAGGCAAGTCCCAACTTTGAGGACACCTTGTATACAGCTGTCTCATACTAGTTGGAAATCACCTAAACTTAAAAAAAAATATTTGATACAAATTATTTCCTACAAATCTTTCGTGAGATGCACTGTTGACATCTCGGTTATTAATCTTCAGCGCTACTCATATTTTACATAATCGCTTTTTCCAGCATCTGCTCTAAGATATTTTTTTAAGGTTTTCTAACAACGGAAGACGAAGTAATACCACCCAACCTGGGACTTAGAGACCAAAACTTAGCTTTAAAATGGGTTATAGACAACATTGACTTATTTGGTGGTGATCCTGGTAATATTGTTCTCATGGGTGAAAGTGCTGGATCTGCTTCTGTGGGTTACCATCTGTTGTCCAAAGAGCGAGGTACGAGATAAGTTTGATTCAACTCGATTATGCGGTCGTGCAATCTTCAGCGAACACCAGTTCCTTGAATTAAGATTCATATTGAAAATATGTATTAGTTAGTTTGAGGTTGATTTCAGATTCGTCCTAACGGCACTCCATTTTAGGTTGAAATCAATACCGCATTTGTACATTACAAGGCAAGGTTTCCACCTCCATAGATGATAGATGAGCGATTTTGACAATGTCGCCAAACCTACAGATGTTTCGGTATTTCTACCGGAATGAGACCTTATTTACCGAAATACTAATGTGAAACCTAGAGCCCGACTCGAATCTGCTGTCAAAAATTTTAGTTAGTATTTGAATTTTCAAAATTGACCACCAAATAACCTTTGAGATCATTCTCTGGATCATCTTTAAGGTTATCGACAAGTTGCTTTTTAGATATCCTAAGCGACTGACTGAAGCCGAGCGCTGTAATGTAATGCCAATATCGAGCGTCACATTACAAAGTTCGTGATTTGAGTCCAGCGAATGCTCATATGAAATGCTCGGCTCAACAGTACTTCACATTTTTCTACTGTAGTCGGTGTCGAAATGTCAGACCTAGAAGTAGCTATTGTTACGATCAAAAACAAAAAATCTATACCTTGTGATGATCTTTTAGTCTTCATTACTATAAATTTTAATTTTGTCTCAATTTTATTTTTCTTATGTAATTCTAAATAACGTTGCTGTAAATTGTTGCCTAAAATTCAACGCCAGCTGCTTCACTTTTTTCCCAAGCAAGTATTCAAATTTAAAGTTTTTCTCAATTTTGTTGACTCTACTGAAGAAAAAATGTACTACGCTAGTCCAGCATACTTGCAAGATTATTTCTTGAATTATGGATAATTTTAATGTTAATCTCAGTTCTACATTTTTTCCTTAATTATTTAAAATTCTTCTAGTGTGCCCAACCAAGGCATTCCTCGGAGCCGTAACTTTAAGATTCTAGTTGAGTGAAGGAGAGTTATTTTCCAATGTGTGAGCGAGACAGTAAACGTGTCATTTTCTTCCAAGTTGAAGCAGCTGGCGTTCAATTTTAGGCAACAATTTACAGCAGCATTGTTCAGGATTACCTAATAAAGATAATTGAGAAAAGATTGAAATTTTTAAATAATAATGTGGGTAGATTGTTTCTGCAGATAGCTGATGCCTTGCATCATGTTTCTTGATTTTGTTATAATATTCCGCATGTTGCGTATCCCCACAGTATACTTTGAGTAAGATATAAATCAAGACCTCTCAATTAAAAACGTTTATTCAGAAGTCTATCTCAACTAATAAAATAAGAAGACTGCAGAGGGACTGTGCTCACAGACGAACTTGTACTCACTTGTAATGTAACCATCAAGGGGCTTCGTTAAAAAACCGACAGTTAAGTGGAGCACGACTTGTTCGGCGCTCGCTTTAGCGATACACTAACGAATGTTTGTGTTCCATTACATTACATTACAGCACTCGCCTTCAGTCAGTCGCCGCCTTAAAATCTTTCTTAAAACCTTCATTTCAAATAATTTGGGTTACCTCATCTATGTCAACGCATTCTGATGTAAAATCGCGAGCTCGGCAAGAATCTGCTGTCAAAATAGTGGTTGCTTTTTCAACTTCCAAAGTTGACCTCCGAGATCAGTGACTTTCGACGGCACCATAGGCTTTCCTCCATTTGGCATCACTGTAAGATCTAGCAACGCTGTCGCTATTCTTTTTCGTATTTCGCAATTCCTTCGAAAGCAACCGTCAGTGGAGGTCACAGATTTTCACAGTGAGTTTCACATACACTCGCGAAGAAAAAGTGAATCTGATACGATGGTACAAATGTAACAAATAACGTTATGCAATACAAATTATCACTACCATGGATGCAGGATGAAGCCATGTCGAACCAGAACGAGACTTCCCTACGAGCGCTAGATGGATACTCACCAAGATTGCTCAACTGTGATCATGGAGACGGAAACCTTGCCTTGGAATGTACAAAATGCGCTGTTGTCAAGCGAATCAATGATGCAATACTCCACGATTTCGACCTAAAATGGAGCGCCGTTAGGATCGATCCTAAGTAGATTCAACATAATTTGCAATTCAAAAATGTGTACGCTTAAAGTAAAACCATTATTTGGACGTAAAGAAGAAATTTATCGCATATTTCCAATATTCAAGGAACGGGTGTAACATATTGGCAACGCAAGACCTGGGTCACCGTTGCTACGCGGCGCGGCGACGAGCTCTTCTTCCAGCCAGCTTCTATCTCTGTCTAATATATGTGCCTATACACACTTCTCGCTTTTCTCTCTCGTACACATTGAACTCGTGCCCGACAGACAAATTTGGTCCTCAGTGTATTCACATGTGGTGATCAGTAGAATAGCTCTGGGTAAGATTTGTCCGACGAGTTAGATTTCACTCACAGGCACCGCAGCACAGGTTATAGCAGGAAAAACGTCAATATAGTCACAGACACACTGGTACAGGATCGGACGGTGCTCTCTAAAATGAGATATTTGGTTTTTTAATGTTATATGTATAACATGTACATCAGCAAAAATCAGGTCACTCATTTCCATCGGTCTGTTGGTTTGTCCGCTAATCTTATAACCACCTATAACTTGAGAAGTTGCGCTCGGATTTCGATGAAATTTCAATAAAATTTCATGCAAAAACAAAAGGAAATTGAAACGGCTCAATCTTCGTTTTTTCACGTTCCAAACGATGATGAACGGAAAATGGGGGTTAAAAATTGTAGGTTAGGAACTGCGAGAGGTGGGGGAGGGAATATCACAATTTTTTTATGCTGATATATTTATCCGGCTCCAACCCCAGTAATTTTACGCACATATTCGACATATTTCACTCATCATAGATGTCCTCGTACATTTACCCTTAAAACGTAACTCCTGCAGTCCGACTCTTTTTGACCAGTCGCTGTTTGCCTAAAGTTCAATACATAGCTTGCTTCCACCTGCCTGTACTAGAGTGATCAAAAATATTTTCACACAGGGGCGAGATAAGTTATAACAACTTGCCAGGTGGTCGCCACAACTTTATCTGCTTGTTTGGCTTGATTTAATCCGCTTAATTTATTTGTTATGCATGTTCGTAGCTAACCTTTTTCTCAGTCGGTCAGTTTGTGACGAACATGGCCCTTTATGTATCCCGTACGTATCAAACCTGAAGTATGCAAAATCACGAAGTATGCATTGAAAACCAATTTCCTACAGATCCTGAGAAGGCATGTGATGAGGCTGGGGGGGAGGGAGGAGAGGGAAATATTATATGGACAATATACAAACCTGTTTTTTAAACAATAGGCTAATTCTTAATAAAACTAAAACTTGTGCTGTGTTTTTTCGAACTACTCAATGTAGAGCAAATGTTCAAAATGGTCTTAATGGTATAACAATAACAGTGTCATACAATACTAGATTTCTTGGTCTTGAATTATATAGTTACCTCAGGTGGGACAACTATATAAGTTATTTAAGAAATAAGCTCATAAGGTAGATAATTCTATTATAAGAATTATTGCTAAGTATTTTATAGAAAAACTTTGAAAGTTGTGTATCACTTAAGTTATGAATCTAGATTAAGTCATGGAATTATGTTATTCGGAAGCTGTAGTGACTTTTTGTAATACAAAAGAGAATATTGAGAAATATTTTAGGTTTGAAGTTGAGTTAATCATGTAGAGGAAAATTCAAGCAATTCGGTATGTTAACAGTTTTTGGAGTGTTTGTTCAAGAGCGCCCCATATATCCATTTAAAAATAAGCGAATGTACACACTTAATGAGCCTACAAGTTACCATACTAGAGTTTTTTTACTACATTTATCCTAAGCATAGATTGGAAATATTTGGACCTCTTTCTAATTGTCTTTCTTTTTAACCATTTACCAGCAGTTGTGAAAAAGATTGTAAAACTAAGTGCATTTAAAAAAATACTGTATAAAATATTACTAAATCTTGGACCATTATTCAATCGATGGATTTTTTAATACAGATTTGAACAATATGCAAGATTTTATCCTTAATTTTGTTTGGTTGACATGTATCTTTTATAACAAGTGGCTTACAGCTGTTGTATATATAGCATTTGTATTTGCAAATAAATATTATTGTTATTGTTATGAACTGATGACAGCGTTGCGTGAGAAGTACAGAGTCAACTTACTTGCCATTATTTATTATACTATTTATTTTCACTTTTCTTTGCAGAAACAAAGTCAGTAAAAGCTGCTATTATGATCAGTGGCACATGCATAGCTCCATGGGCAATACTTAAAGATGGCAGAGCAAAAGCATTCGATGTTGGAAGGAAGCTGGGAAAAGATTACTCTTTTAGCAACGGATCAGTTCAATTGCTGGAGCATTTTCAAAGTTTATCGGTTGATAAGTTTTTAAAAACAGCTGGGGTAAGCATGCTTGTTGTCACTGCCACACGGTCTCTCAAAATTCACGCAAGATTAGATTCAATAGTGAACACACTTTTCCTCCTTTAGATTGCTAATTTTCTATTCAATGGAAATGCACATTGAGCTAGCAGACACGCGCACCATATTATTGAAATTTTGTATAAATGTGGCTGAATGTTAACGCACGACTGCCTGTGGGCTTGTTGGTATTCAAATAACTCCATAAAAAATCCATGGGCTGAACGGTACGATACGAAGTCTTATTGAAACTAGATGGATAGGTTTGCATATTAAGTACCTCGCATTCTTAGTTGGCCACTCTGTAGAATCCACAGATTTGTTTTTTTTCCATAACATCGAGGAACAATACGGCATACAGGCCGTCAGGCTGATGGAAGACTGGATAAGATCCAGGAAGCGCATGGCACAAGAAACTAACAGACGGACTTTTCTGATTAAGTGCTGGAAAAATGGCATTTCATCCATCGCTTAATATCGACCAATCAAAATTTACACAACCACTTGGCAGAGGCTTGGACGAATTCACCAATAGAATGTTAGGTGAAAGGATTATG